AGTTCAGAGCAAATCAGACTGCTTGGTGGCTCAAAATGTCAAAACAAATTTAAGAGAAGGAAGACAATTGTTCTGTCTGCGCACAACATTGGACCAACTGACACGAATTTCTGATCCAGATCGAACAGCGTAGTCGCTTTTGGCATAAAGCTGGTATGAACCTATTTAAGGTGAACAACGCGTGGTACCTCATCATTATCGTCAGATATTCACGGTATCTCGAAGTCGTCAAATGTGAAAATTTGACAATGGAGACTATCATCGCAAAGATGTCTAAAATCTTCTCGAGGCAAGGTATCCTGGATGAGATTCTGACCGACAACGGGACCCAGTTCAATCCTTTTCGATGATCCCGGATTTTCAGGAAACTTACGGTTTTCGATTGATTATAAAACGTCCAGGATACCCACAATCCAAAGGCCTCGCTGAATCAGGGGTTAAAATAGTGAAGAATATATTCAAGAAGAATAAAGACCCGTACAAAGGCCTGTTAACGTATCGTAACACTCCGTTGGAGAACGGATATTCACCAGCAGAACTTTCAATTTGTCGAAGACTGAAGGACTTCTTACCGGTGGTTCCAATGAAATTGGAATCAAAGTTGGCAAAGCAGAACGAAGTATCGGTAAAAGAAGATCGACGCAGAGTCCAGGAATATTACAATTCGTCAAAAGGTGTTAAACAGCTTCCAGAACTGATTCCTGAGACTAAAGTCTTCATCAAAGATGCCAAGAGATTCATGACGGTGATACGAAATGCCGAGCAACCTCGATCATACATTATACAAACTGACACAAACCGACTCCGACTAAAGAGATTCACCACATCTCCAATAGAGCCAAAAGACACCGAAGAGATAAGCTCGCCACCGAGATGGACAACACCCATGAAGCGAGCATGCGACGGACCTCCTGACGACACACCAGCGACGAGAACAGCTGATGAAGAAAGTGGACACCCGCCAAAGGAAGGTCAACGAACATGGTCAGGAGGGCTGTCATAACCACCACGTATCAACAATTAGTCTCAAAAGAGGGAGATGTTGTATGATAGACAAAGGGCGCCACCTGGCGAGCGCGCCAGCAACTACCGCGACGGCCTGACTATCACTATTGCAGACCGCTCGACAGACGCGCTGGACGCCGGACACGCGGTGACGAACGTGCTACGTTCGTCTCCTACACATACAGTGTAATCCAAAGTCTGCCAAATAAACGCCATTTCGATTGAGTATAGTTTGTCGTTATTCATATAACACAGCGGATGAAAGATCACCGCCACCTCCCGAACAAAACACGTTTTACACTAACAGTACTAATTACCCTGGTAGTTGACGTGCCCGGAATCACTAAACAGTCAAATAATAAAAAACTCCACCGTTTTCTGCGAAAACTAGTTCAAAGTTTCGCATTTTCACAAACGCTCAAAAGCAGCATTACCATTTTCCCAAAAACAGCTCCAATTTTTTTTCTTGAAAGGTTACGAAGGAATAGTGCTATTTGCTCTCTTTAATATGACAAGTCAATTTTGGTTGTTGTTTCTTTTGTTGTCGTTTTTTTCTTCTTCAAAATACCCGTTTTTTAAAAAGCTCTCACGCAGTTAATATGCACATTTCCATCAATTTTATGTATTTTTTAGTAGCAGTGCTTCAAATTACAATTTTCGAAAACTCAAAAACTTTCTGTGAAATAGCTTCAAATTTCGAATTTACAGTACCGCTTCAACGCCATTTTCTTGAAAACGGCTCCAAATTATTCAAAGAAAATTGCCATTTATACCACGGTTTTACTCCTTAATATTCAAGTTATATTTCGCTTTTTCTATAAGAAATAAAAAATTGAGAAAATGACAAAAAATGTATGTAGATGGCAGTTGATAGTCGCTTGCCAGAGGATAGAGCAAGACCATACCAAGGTGCCAGTAAAGCCAGTCCATTCCGAGAAATTAGAAAACTTTATTACGAGAAAGGTTGTGCCATTCTGTAAAACACTAGTCTTTTTTTGTTTGTAGTAGGATCTTATTGCTGTTAACTCTCACTGCATGTTTCCACAAACCCTAAACAGGGAATATTGCTGTGTCCAATCACCAATCATGTTCTATTCTGACTGTATGAAGGCTAGGCAATCTGAGTGCTTTGGCCTAAGCCTTCAATTCAAACCATGTGGTGTTTACATTTACAAAGCCCATGAACAACAGCTTGTCTTGCATTTCCTCCAAATCCAATGGACAAAAGCACATTTATCATTTGCAACAGTCCATCCTCTGTTTTTCCCTGTTGGAACATACTGCACAGTAATCTACTAACATTTATCTACTAACCCAGTAATTAATCTAGATTTTAAGAATATTCCTCATTCAAATTTACCTTCATGTGCTGTTTTCTTATACTTTTTATCATTTCAAGACAAATTCATTAATCATCAAATTTTTATCACCAATGACTCAAAACAAGGTGGTACTGAAGGTTTTACTTGTATCACTGCATATCACCCTCAACTTACTTTTTTTACTAATTTACCAGACTTCTATTTTCTGCTGTGAAGCCTGGGCAATTATTAAAGCTTTTCTCTTTTCATAAATTAGAATTTCTGCAGATTACGTTATCTTTCAGCTTCATTATCTGTCATATCTGCTATTCAAATTAAATAATCAAAAAATCCTTTTATTCAAGAAATCCAAGAACCATTCTACTCTTCTTCAAAATAATTGTAATGTTGCATTAACATGGTTCCTTTCCCACCGAGGAATAAATGGAAATGAAGATACTGACTACTCAGCAAAAAAGTTCCTTTATCCAATAACTCAATCTCAGATTCCCTTGAAGACCTTAAAGATCCTCTGTTATCTGCATTAGGATTATGAGATTTGAAATGGAAATCAAATTATTCAAAATTACGTCAAGTTAGGATTAGTAATGCTCCTCCCCCCCCCCTCTTCAACTCTAACAGAATACAGCAAGATATTTTATCAAGACTCCAAATTGGCCGTATTTATTTAAAAAGACAAATCCAAATCCATATCCAAATTGTGGTGAAGTTATTTCTACATCTCATTTATTAGTTGAATGTTCTGTCACAAGTGATCTTAGAAAAAGCTTCAAAACTTGATACTAACATTCTCTATTCTCTTGATATTTTTTTTTTTTTTTTTTTAGTATTTTTACCTTCACTTACATCTCTTCTTGATAGACACACACTTGAAATGTTCAGGATTTATTCCGGTTTCACAGAATTTATAAAACCTCCAATATTTTTGTTTACCTTTTAAAGAGGTACGGTACCGTTTGAGTATCTTGCTTGGCTACATATTCCATCAATAATTTTAAAACGCATTCACTATTATATTTTCCTTTTGTTTGATCCTCTCTACTCATGTAATCTTAACCATTTTTCTACATTCTGTAAGCATGTATGTATGAAACTATCCAAACTTAAGAATTCTGAATGTTTACTTCCTTATATTGGATTGTTTGTACGATTTTTTGGTAGACATTTTATGAAAGTCAAAATAATATACTTTTAACTCCTGAAAAATTTTTAAAACTGTCAAGAATAGAAAAAATATTATTTTACATTTGAACTATTTATTTACTAATTAATATGTTACTACCTTCAGTGTCTTATTTAAAATTTGTCACACACGTAAAATTACAATGAGAAGTCTCCAAATATAATGTGAATATAATATGAAAACTTTGGTGTAAGTTTGATATGCTCGTTAATGGAATAAAGAATAAGTACAAAGAGGAAAGTTGGTGAAACAACCTTATGTTCATATTGCATCCTCTGGCAAACAGGCTAAAAAAATAGTTGTTAATGTGAAAAGTTTATTTACAAATAATTCCTTCAGAAAATAATATTGGTAAAGTGCACAAGTGTGTTCTAGAAGTGCACTGCATCAATACTGGTAAAAACAAATTCACTGAAAAAGTATTTAGCACAGAAATATAACCCTGCATCTATGCACCTATAATGTAAGAATGGTTGAGAAGATATATATCAATACGACTTTTAATACTTAAACTTAATTTTATTTTTAAATATCTTTTCGTACAGAAATCAAAGAATACATAATGTTGTCAGAAGTGAAAAAAAAAATATCGCTAATCAAATATGGAATTATATACTACTTTCAACATACACAAAAAACTGTTTAGAACACACGTTAGAAACTTGATCTTAAAACTGAACAATCAAATGATTTTGAAATTTAAGAAACCATTTAACATAACACAAATACAATATGATTGAAAATACAGTAATTTTGAACACATTTTATTTTGGTATAATGTTTTAAATTATAAGATACCATTTCCCAATTAAAATTTTTTGAAAATATCCTGCAAGTCCAAGAAAAAATTAATGCTAAAGCCAAAATGATAACACCGCAAATAGTTTTAAAATTTCAAATCAATTACTTCAACACTTTCTATAGAAAGCGTGTTCACATATTAACGTGAAATATAAATTAGTAATACCCCCCGATGATCAGAAAAACTTTTGTTTGCAGGTATTTCATACACAAAACCATACAGACAAATCCTGTAACAATGACTTTGTGATTACAACAACCAACTTACCTTAAGAGTTTGTTGCATTGCATAATCATTTCATTATGTTACAAAGCTCTGAAATTGTTATACAATAATAATTATTAATAAAAATATTATACAATCTAATAGTCAGAACATGTGTATATTGTCATAGCCAAATGTCACAGAATTTTGGCTGTCGACATTGCTTTTTAAAGAGCTATTTCAGTTTTTTTACATCATTTTCTAGATGAAATGTCATTTTTATGGTTCCTTAACACTTACACTGATCTATTTTAATAATCATTAAAAAAAATTATGGATTTTGTTTCCTGAATACATCCCGCTTAGCTCTTATAACATCAATGAGCCGAACATGATTCAAAAGGCATTATCATATTTAATTAATCCGGCACAATTTACCAAACTCTTATGAGTGAATTACAGTAGTCCATATAATGCAATATTTTCAATACTCCTCTGAACCAGATATTTTTTCCTCATCAGTAGGTGGTGCAAATCCATCATCTACTGAGTACAGAACCTCTAGAATTTTTTGTATGACTGGATCCTGTTCATTATCACCTTCTTGGCACACATCTTCAATATCACGTAACTTTTTGTAATAAAAATCTCTTTCTTTTTCAAAATCGTTTGCTTGACTTGTAAGTTCGCTTATTTTAGTGTTGAGCTTCTCAATTTCTTCCATCTGGAAAACAAGTTGTGCAGAATCTTTACTGGCCACTGACGTGTAAGATTGGGACACAGGATTCCTTTTCCCATGAATCTTGCCAGAGGCTTGATTATTTCCTGACACTAAATGCTTTGAAGCTTTATTATTTTTCTCCGAGTCGTGCAAACTTTCAGAAGAGTTGACACTCGGACCGCTGGCGAGAGCTTCATCTTTCAGTTCGTCTTTGTTTTGAGCTTTGTAATTGGCCTCAAAAAACTTTTTAAACCACTGTAAAAATTCAAAATTATCTTGAAATTTTCCTTTTACCAACCTATCAATTTCAACCATCTTGTCAATATTTAATTTATTGAACGAGCTCTGAAGAATTTTAAAATTCTGCACGTATTCCCGTTCCAGAGTAGAATTAAACTTTACTTTCTTCAGACAAAGACAGCCAGGAAAAAGAATGTCCATGAATTGACAATATGCTGCACCAGAACATAGCTCTTCAATTTTAACGTACTTGGTGGGCAAATAATTATTCACCCAAGCTAACAACTCGTGCCTGCTCAAATTCTCGGAGTTAATATTGGTGTTATAAACATTCACAGCCATAGCGATCAGCAAAATAATTTTCGGTAAGTTCAATAAATATCACTTCCACAAATTCCAATTTCTTGCCCAATTTACTTTTTCAACCGTTGTATTTAATTATTAATCGAAACACGTTACACGACGTTACACCTAGTCGCAATCAAACATTCATTCACCCTGGGCTTTTGCAGTTAGTAATGTACTCTGATGTATTTACAGTTTGCTGAAAGTTTGAAGTTGCGCGTTAAACCAATCAGAAGGCTTATAAATACAGAAATTGCACGAATAATGTATTAACGTGTAATGGCTTTGTTCGGGAAGTAAGAACACTGCATAATATGAATCTGCTTAAGCATTCAGTAATTAAAAACCATGGCTCTAGGAATATTCCTGGTAGCTCCATGCAAAAAGACTTCGTAATCATTTAATGAAATGCACAAACATTTTTTGCAAAAGCAGAAGATTCCTGAAAATTCATCACATTACGTACGTTCATTGTTACGCGGTATTCAAAATCGTTTGTTTGTAAATGTAAATGCCCACGAGATGTTCTACATGTGCCGTCTCGACCCGGAAAATAGTATATTAATCACTATTTTAAAATCAATATTGGTGAAGAAATGTGGATAATAGTTGTTGTTTTTCACATTGAGTTCATTGTTCTGCTCACATTGTATGTCAGTTACGAAGATCAGAATCCGTAATAAAGAAAAGTATTAGTTTGGACGACCGCCCGGGGCCCCTCACGTCAAGCAGCCCGATGATGGGACTGAAGGGAAAACATTAGTAATTAGTGGTGCAACAGTTGGCACAGACTTTCCCGTATTAGTTTTCTATTTCCTTTGGTCTCGGCTTCGGGCTTGCCACATATCGCCGCCCAAAGTACATTTTTTAAACTTTCTCTATTAACGGTTTCTTATTAGAGAATCGAAATATTTCTTCAGAAATATTAAAGAATAGCAAAGCCTCGTCCTATATGAAACTTTTCATTGGAGAATTTGAAGCCGTCTTTAAGAAAATGGTATTTAAGGTGGTTAGAGCGAGATATTCCCTAGTAGATAGGGAATCCATATTACATTCAAAAATATTTATTTGCGAGATACGTGTATATTGTGAGACCTACATAAACAAAATAGAGACTCTTATGGTGAGTTTTATTTAATGATACGAATGCATTTAGTTTCATAGATAGAAAATAAAAATATTGCAATACCACATTAAGACCTACTGTTGACTAGTTTCTAAACTAGTACGAACAGATCGCGTGGCCAAGGAATGAAAAATTGAGGCATAAGATTGAATATAAAAAGCGTTATTACACAATTACCGAGAGAAGAATTATAAAAAGTAACATTTTTTTTCAGTTATCGCTAATAATGGCCAGAATTTCCTCATGTAAGTAGAACGAAAAGTCTTTTGGTCTTTTTCAAAAGTAAATTGGGAAACGTCGTACTTGAGATTGGCATACCTTCTCAGTGTTCATGCTTCTTCAGTGTCGTTGTTCTGAATCACTGAATTCGTTGCCGGGTCGACAGTAGGAAAATATCACTGTCTAAGCGAATTGACGAAAAATTTGTTTCCAAACGAAATTTGAGAAAAGAACGAATTCCTTACGCGCAGAACTGTGACACGATAAAGTTTTCAAATATTTTTCAATGCTTGTTTGTCTCTAATTTTTATTAGATTAATTATATGAGTAGTATTAGTTATATGAGCCAATGGTAGGATAAACCTTAGATTATTCGATTGCTTAAGGTGGTTAGAGCAAGATACATTTTATGTTTAATATGCCTTTTTTATTGTATTAATCGAAAGATGAGAGGTTCTTATATGTTCTGGTAAAGTTTGAATTGATTTTACCGTCCAGTGTTTGCGTACGAGACCGTTAAGTTTGCTGTTTTAACATGGGCTCTAATGGGGATCTGAGAGATCTGACCTGAAATTTTAAAATTGTGAGAAAATTAATCGTTGAACATGCTTTAAAAAACTTTTCTTTTGATAGCTAGCATCTCGAAGAATCAACATGCGCAATTTGAAGGAAATCTACCGTTTCAAATGGGAAAATTTTGCAAAATCATAAACCTAAGTCATTCCAAAGGGAGACGTTCGCGCGCTTTCTAGAGGTTCGGGAGTGTGACGCGCATCTCGGCAACACCGCGCGCGCAACGCACTTCATTCAAACCGACTGACAAGGCAGCAAGAGTTCGTACATTCTTCTAGATCTTCTGGGAGCAATTAAAATACCCTAACTCCTGAAGAACATTGCGTTTGATGGTAACCAGATATTCAGAAAAGCTGGAATTTGATGGATATAATGGTTAGAGCGATCTGAATGAAAATCTAAATTCAATTAATATTCCCAATTACTCACTTTGATACTACTCCCTGAGGAAATTGGTGATCTTGACACTTAACTGAGTTTTTTAAACATTCAGAACAGTATTATTATTTTGTATTGTGCCGTACGTCAGGTTTTTGATCCTGCACAATGATTATATACTCAATTATTCGAAAATTATTCATATTCTCTTTTTTTATTATGGAAATACACAGTGTATTATCATTGTATTTTCCACCAAAGATGCTTACAGAGAAATCAAAGCAACAAACTTTAGCATAGATCAGCACCTCAATTGGTATTGCTACTAAGTGGGCATTGAATTCAGAAAGAAATAGACTTTGTAGTGGCTTCAAATGTGTTGCAATGATAAAATACTGTTTAGCTAGTATTAATATCAACCATCCAAGGTGTAGGTGAAAGGAGACCTAGGTTTCCTCCTAGCAAAAATAGGCTTGGGACACACATCCACGTGCTCGGTTTTTTAAAATAAATATTAAAAACTTCATAAAATGTTTTTATTTTAATAAGCATTAATCAAATAGTTTACTGAACAACAATGTTTGATTTTAAAAATAAAATGAATGGAACAATAAAAAATCAAACATGTATTTGTAAATGATAAATTTAAAAATCAATTTCTACTTGAAAGCAATTTGTTAATTTACGTTTGAATTGGAACAATGATTTATTCTATCATAATTAATGTTTTTTAGATTTATTCATAATTAGTATTTTGGTTTTAAAGATTTTTCTGAAGGAGTGCCCTGTGTAGTTTTGTGCTTGAAGGCCTACAGAATCTAAATCCGCCCATGGGCTAATTTAAATATTGCATTTGTAATTAATAATTATATTCTATTGTAAATTGTAAGGTGAAAGATATATTCAGCCTTTGGTAGTTTTGGTATTTTAATAGAAACCCCTTTTCTCTTCAGCACTATATTTTATCTAATTGTTTGCATTTCCGGAAGAGTAGTAATGCATTTTGAATGGTTCTCATGTCTTATTTTCAAAACATTTAAACCTCTTTTCATTTTGAGTGCAACATCAAGACAAACGATTTCAAAAATGCCACTTCCAATTCTCTTTTGAAGATTTTATCTTCAACAATGTTATAATTTTATTATTGAAGGTCTCAATAATGCAGCTCTCAGTTATATGTTGCAGTAATTTCATTTATCAACATTAGTTTGATATGTACTTTACACAATAATTTGCATCTAAATCAATATCATAACATAATATAAAATTATACTGAAAATCAGCAAATAGTTCCTATGAATTATACTATCGCACCGCTGGAAATAATATGGCACATTGCAATTGCAAACATAGTTGTAAAATTTCAATCAAAACTATTAAAACATTAAAAATTGATCATGCAGTTTTAATTACCAAAGCAAAATATATAAATATGGGAAATAACAGAAACAAAATATATTGCGCTATGAAGGATAATAAGGAGCCGTAGGAATCAATGATTACGATTCTGTCAAGTTAAATATATATTAATACAATGTTGGAAAGAACCAAACTGTTGATCTTGTTGCCAAGTAATCGAAATACCTAAGGTTTGCCCTACCATTAGCTCAGGTTAATTCAAGAAAATAAAAATTAGAGGAGAAACAAACATTGAAAAAATAATTGAAAACTTTTTATTACGTAATTATAATTTAAACTTATTGTTGCTATTCTAGTAATATTGCGGGAATTATTTCGTTTTCTGTCAACTTCCGCTTTGGAAATAAACCCTCCGCAAATTCACTCAGATTGTGATATTTACCGCGGGTCGACCAGGCAACGAACAGTTTTCAAAGTGGTTTTAAAACAACGAAACTGAAAAATCTTTCTTATTTCACCTGACAGAACTGTTACAAGCATGCGCCCTGAGCAGTCATTCATATCTCAAGGACATTATGGCGTTGCCCAATTTACTTAAGACTTTTCGCCCCACTCAAACATGGAAAGTTTTGCTATTATTAGCGATCACTGTATAAAAATATATAGATATGTGTCTATAATGTTTCTTTTTATGATTTCGCTCGAACTAATTGTGTAATAGTGCTTTTTTATGCTTATCTTCAATTTTTCATTTCGTAGCCACGCTATCAGTTGGTACTAGTTAAGAAACTAGGCAACGGTAGTTCTTTAAAAATAACTTTTTTCTACATCTATGAAACATAGTTAATTCAAATAATTAAATAAAACTCAACATAAAAGTCTATATTTTGTTGATGTAGGTCTCACAATACCCTCTTATCTCGCAAATAAATATTTTTGAACGTAATATGGACTCTCTACCTATGTGTGTATACGGAGTTGCTCTACAGCTGTCGCCGTTTCTCCGCTCTCAGTCTCCATGCCTCTCTATTTAACCATAGATCATCTTGCATTTCTCTTGCCGTCATAGCCTCTTGCACTCCTGCTGCCATGCAAGTCTGGGTCTTTCTCTCTTCTGTCTTTCTGTCGGCTCCAAATTCAGGACTCGTTTCGCATCTTTCGGTCTGTCATTCGCATTACATGACTGTACAGACGATTTGTTTTTTTCTCTATTTCAATGATAGATTTCTTACATTCTATCTTTCTATATCGTCGTTCCTGAGTCTGTCACGTCGGCTATAACAGAAACTTCTACGCCAGAAGTCCATTTCATGCGCCAGCAGCTGCCCTTTTGTACTTTTAT